TAAGTCCTGATATGGAATTGGTGGATTTCTCCCCCTTTTGTTGTCTAACTGTCCTTCCCCGAGCCTTCTACTCTTTAAAGAGATTCTGTTACTACACTATGTGCTTATCATGCTTCTAGTTGATTCTTTCTTTTTTTTTTTTTTTATCTCATTTATTCAGTTGGGGTAAGAACTCAGTAGGCCCTTTTCATTTGAAAGCCCTTACAGTTCAGTTTGATTTTTAAAGTATGTATTCTGTTGATGATTTTTCTCTCTCCTTCCTTTTTCTTGGTGAGACATCTGTCATTCCGTTTCTGAACCTCTCAGAGAAGAACTATACTTTTTGTACTATTCTATCATTTTCTGTCTGTTGTCATTGCTTCTGGTTGGAGGGAGAATTCCTCAAGTTTTATCCTCTAACTACTCTATCCAGCTTTTCATTTCTATTATCATATTTTTAGTGTCATTCTTTATGTTTTGGTTTTGAGTTGGCCAAAAAGTTTGTTTGATTTTTCCATAAGATGGCTCCAGTAGTGCTCAGTTGTCTTAAACTCCATTCAAAACAGTTCTGTTATATTGTATTGTGACTGCTGTCATCAGCATGCACTTAAAAAAAACATCAAAATTGGCGATTTTTGTGTAGCCATTTTAATACTGACGATGGAAGGAAATAAGTGACATTTTTGGCATATTCTTTATTATTTCAAGAAAGGTAAAAACTGAAACGCAAAAAAATGATTTGTGTAGTGTATGGGGAAGGTGCTGTGACTGAAGAAACATGTCAAAAGTGGTTTGCAAAATTTCATGCTGGAGATTTCTCACTGGACAGTGCTCCAGAGTCAGGTGGACCAGCTGGAGTAGATAGCAATCAAATTGAGACATTAGTTGAGAATAATCAATGTTATGCCACACTAGAGATAGCTGACATACTCAGAATATCGAAACCAAGCATTGAAAATGACTTATACCAGCTTAGTTATATTAATGGCTTTGATGTTTGGGTTCCGTATAACTTAAGCAGGGAGGTGGGGGGAGGAGGGCCAGCCACATTCTTGATGGTATTTCAGCATGCAATCCTGTACTGAAATGTACCTAACAAAAACATGCCATTTTAAAAACAAATTGCGAATGATGATGAAAAGTGGGTATTTTACAACTGTGTGGAACGAAAGAGATGGTGGGGCCAGCAAAATGAACCTCCAGCCACTCCAAAGGCCGGGCCTAGTACGGAACAGGTGATGTTGTGTGTACGGTTAGACTGGAAGGGAGTCCTCTATTATGTGCTCCTTCCATAAAACCAGGAGATTAGCTCCACCAGCTAATGCTCCCAGTTAGACCAACTGAAAACGGCATTTGACAAAAAATGCCTGAAGTTAGTCCACAGAAAACACGTAATCTTCCACCAGGATAATGCAAGACCGCACGTTTCTTTGATGACCAGGCAAAAACTGTTACAGCCTGGCTGGGGGGTTCTGGTTCAGCTACCATATCCACCAGACATTGTACCTTCAGGTTTCCATTTATTTGGGTTTTTATGAAAATTTCTTCATGGAAAAAAATTCAGTTCCCTGGAAGACTGCAAAAGGCACCTGGAACAGTTCTTTGCTCAAAAAGGTAAAGTTTTGGGGAGATGGAGGTATGAAGTTACCTGAAAGATGACAGAAGGTACTGGAACAATGGTGAATGCGCACCGTTCAGTAGTTACTGGTGAAAATATCTTTTATTTTTACTTAAAACCAAATTAATTATTTGACCAACCCAATATGTTTTTAATTCTTTTAAGAGCATTTTCTACTGGTTTTAAGGATGCAGTATCTTCTCTTAACTCTGCAGATTTTGTAGTTCTTTCCTGTTCAGGGGTTGCTGTCGTTCTTTTGTTTGTTGGGCTGGTTGGATTCCCCACCGAAAGGTCTGCTAGTCGCCTGCCCCCAGTGAGCGGGCTGGCGGTCCCTGCTGTGGGTGCAGAGTGATGGGGAGATTGGACACCTCGCACTCCAGTGTGTAAGGGGCCCCAAAGCTGCCCCAGAAAGTAGGAGTACATTTCTAGTCTCCCCGAGAGTTAGGGAGTGCTAGATAGCCAGCTCTTGGGGGCAGGGATATGGGATTCGGCTGCTGTTCAGGGAGAATTCAGTGTCAGAATTTCAGTCTCAGCCTTCCCCCTCTCCTGACCTCGTTGCTGCCATTTTTTCCTGCCTTTCTGTGGGGACAGGAGGGATCTGTGGTGTAAATTGGTTCTTTCTTACTTGGGTTGGGCCAGGTTCCCTCCTTAACTTAGCTATCTGCTTTCTAATGTCTAAATCGTTTCTCATTCTCCTGAATTTTTACATTTTAAACTTTACTATACGAAGTCTGTCCAGGAATATCCAACCATTGTTAATAAAATGAGAAAGTTTTCTGTGACATCAATGTAAGCTGGCAGCCAAGGAGAGTGGACTGGAATGCACATGCGTGAACAGTGACAATTTCACTGTTCTAGTCGTTGGGGGCAGTAGATGCTGCCGAGTATGTATATGTACTGTGTGTCTGTCACATTCAAAATGACTGAGCCAGTAGAGCAACAAATCTGCATCCAATTTTGTGTTAAGCTTGAACATCCCAGGCCGCAGCTGTGGGCAGCTGGTGATTGGCAGCTTCATCACGACATGTACCCGCTCATGCATCACATCTCATGTAGTGTTTTTTGGTGAAATATCGTATCACCCAGGTGACTCAGCCCCCGTCAGCCCAGGTTTGGTGCCCTGTGACTTCTAGCTTTTCCCAAAACTAAAATCATCTTTGAAAGGGAAGAGATTTCAGACCATTGATGAAATTCAAGAAACTGTGACAGGGCAGCTGATGGCAATTAGAAGACTATGTGAGATCCCAAGGTGCCTACTTTGAAGGGGACAGAGGTGTCATTGTCCTATGTACAATATTTTTTGTATCTTATATCTTCTCCAGTAAATGTCTCTATTTTCATAGTACATGGCTAAATACCTTCTAGACAGACCTCGTATTTTTGAAGAATGTTAGATGGGAGTGAAGGAACACAATTGAATTATAATTTCACCAATTTTGTTAAGTTTTTCTTTCAACGGTTTTTAAAACTAAGCAAGACTTTATTTCATAGCAAGCATTATAGAATAAGTATAATTGTCTTTACTTTTGTATTTTTAACTGACACTTAAGTTGTGGAATTGAGTATATAAATTTACCAAGGCATTTTGCAACTCATAAATTTATTCCTTTAATAAGGCATAAAGTAAAGTTATACTGCAAGTTTGTTCTCTGTTTCTGTCATGTAAGTAAACACCCTTCCCTTTTAAAATCTGGTTTTGTCTCTTCAGTGGAGAAAAGTTTCTGTGGTGAGTCACTTACAGTTTTAGTTTTCATTCTTAGGCCTTTCTAAAGTATTTTGAATTACAAACATTCCTCAGTTCTTTCTGTATCAGTGCCTGTGCCTTAGTGTCTCTCTCTGTCAGACAGATACGCACACACACTCGGGACTTTAGTGTCATTTTCAGTTAACTGTGACATCTGTGGCAGTTCTAGGTTGGTTTCGATTAATGTTTCTCGTATGTTATGTTTTTGTGTCTCTTTGCCTGCCTGTTACCTTCTGATTTGGTGCCAGATGGTGTGCCTATGACTTGTGTGGCAGGTATTTGTATCGATGTCAGTATTCTTGATCTTCGTCCTGGGGCATCCACTGTTGCTGTTGCCCTTGAAATTCTAAGAGACCCCCATTTCACACCTGTGAGCACACTGATGACTCTGAGTTCAACATGAGTGGCCTGCCAAGGATGTTGTGCTTCACCTCGTTTGTCACTTCCCCTCACAACGTTTGGATGCACTTTCGTAGTAATGATTTGAACAGAAATAAAGGCAGAAGTTACAACTTATTCCTATTTTTATTGGCTTAGCTCTATATAGGATTTTTTTTTTCTAGCATGGCCTCGCAAACATGCAAGTTGTAGTAGAAAGCTGTTCCGTATAACAGGTTTTATTTGATTGGAATCTTACACTTTAGTAAATAGAGACCTACAAGGTGCTTATATGGTACCTTGCACTGAGACAGGTGCATTTATTATACCATTTTTATACTGACAATAAGTCTATATTCTCATTATGTATATTAAAAGTTATACATTATAAGTTATTTATAAATACTTTATTTCTAAAACTTAATTCAGGAGGCAGGTCTGACATTATTGTGTCTTCGGTGAAAGGGACAAGTGGCCAGCTCCGCAGTTCAGCCTCCTCAAAGCTGGATAGTGTCTCCAGCCTGGAACTCCGCCTCATGAGGTGCTTGAACACGCGGAGGAAGGCGGTGTAGGCATTCTCTATTCAACTAGCACTTATGGGTGGAGACAATTAGAGAGTAACCTTACGGTTCACTCTCTTTAAAGTAAGCTAATGATGGAAAGGTAGTTTCTCTTACTGCAATTACAATGAGGTAGTTTCATAAATTCTGCTCGAAATACTTAACAGGTGACATTTCTCTCACATAATGTCTTTTTATAAAATACTTAATCTTGAATTCAGCCGGTGCTATTAAAAAGTAATTGTAACAAAATGAAAAGATCACTGAATTTGAGTTTCCATAACTTTGATGGAGATTCTTATTAGCTGTGCGACCTTGATAATGACAGACTTAAATCACCGGTAGCCCTGCTGACCTCCTATTTACTTACAGTAAAATACAGAAGTAACAGCCTGCTTTTCACGACGACCTAAGGATGACACCACAGGTGAACGTCTTTGGACAGAAGAGCACAATGGGTCAGGGTGGCCTCGCTCACTGTCACGTCCTGAGCCCCTGGCTGCAGGCGTACTGTGTAGTCCGTGCTTCCCCAGGATGTGTTGAATTGGCTGTGACCCGCTGGGTTGTTTTGTCAGGAAAATAATGCAAAGTATTGGTAATATCATCATGGAAAAATAACACAAATACAGCTTAAGTAATTGACAATAGATTAGTATTGTGAAAAATATGCCTTCATTTTGAAAAGAAAAATATGCGATAGTGATTTTTGTCAATTTTTTAGGAGGAACAAAATAGAGGCAAGCCCAACTGGGAGCATCTCAATGAAGATTTACATGTGCTGATTACTGTGGAGGATGCGCAGAACAGAGCAGAGATCAAACTGAAGAGGGCTGTTGAAGAGGTGAAGAAGTTACTGGTTCCTGCAGTAAGTAATGGTTTCCAAATCTTGGGCTCCAGCCCCCTTTTCAGTTTAATTTTAAATTACCGTAAGGTTATTGTAATAAATAGGTTGTTTGGTTGTTAGAAATTTTATGTTTAAAATACAACAATAATCTATAACTTCTTTAATACAGTAGATAAACAGGCATTTGCTTACATGTATACGCGGGAAAGCTTGTTCATTTTTTGTGAGGGGAGCAAACTCGGCAGCCTGCTTTTCCAAAGTAGCGTTACTCTCGAATCACTCTGTTTGTTACATGGGAAAGCATAAGTAGGGTGGTGGAAGCGTTCCTTCGTTTATGGGACAGTTTTTCTGTACGCAGTAATGAGCGTGCAGAGCTCTGTGCCTGGTGCTTCCGCTGGCTGAGCCGTGTGAGTAGCAGCACATCGAGTTGCCGGTGGGCCCAGGTGCCCTCCTGGCGCACCGTCATCTCCCACAGAAAGGTCAATGTCCTTTTGCGGATTTTCCCATGGCATGACAAAGTGTATGTGTGTGTGTTTGTGCAAAAGGAAGAGCTCACCTTTTTACTAATGTGCCAGGCACCTTCGTGTTCTCACCCTCCCTCCCCTCCATTTGCACTTTTGCCATCTGGCCTGCCCAGTCCCCTCCCCTTTTGTCTTCATGGTCTCAGAAACCTGTCCCAACTTCAGATGTTTGAGCTCCTACCAGAGTATCCTCTTGTCCAGTGGAAAATAAAAGTAAATTACTGGTTTTCTAAGACATTGAAATTTTTATATTAGTACAATATATGGAAATGGGGGCTCCAGCTTTCTATTAAAAAAAACCAGGACTACTGTTAATATTCTGTCTAACAGAAGTTTGTTGACATTTACATAAAGGAGGAGACGGTCTACTGTTCTTTATTTCTCAGGTAGTCTAGTCTATAAGTAAACTTACATATGATAAAAATTTCCATTTAGCTGACAGGATTAACTCCTTGTAAGAAAATAATTCCATTTAAATTCTGTTTGATAGGCTTTATAAGGAATAAACAAACAAGTTAAATATAAACTAAAATCTGTAAATGTACACTGTTAAACCATGTAATTTTTCTCCTTTTTAAAAATAATTGTGCAGCATTGAAAAAAATGCATAGAGAAGGATTTTTCCCCTAAGCATAGTGTGCTGTCAGTCTCGTGATCAGAACAAGTAACTTCACAGGAAGCCCTTTTTTGTTGTATATAACTGACGATACTCAGCCCAAAGAACTAAACAAATGATTTCACCTAGTATATTAAATAGAGCGGTTGTCTAATAATTAAAACTCTTACTGACCTATTAGATTATTCTAATCATTCTGTAAGCTACTTTAGTTCTAAAAATTAACGTGGAAAAGAACATTCAGTTAGAAATCTGTGTTATAATACACACATTTTGCCCAAATTTTTGAGATGAAAATAAGGATGTTCATTACAGATGGGCGGAACTAAGTGTACACTGTATATGCGCAGTGCTAGAGCGTAGTGCTAAAGTGTGGGTGCACATTATACACGTGAAATACGGCAGCTTGCCTGCCTTGGAGAAAGTAAGCAGACTTCTCTGTGTCTGTTTTCTCATTTACACAATGAGGATGGATCGGATGTCATCTAGTGACCACTTCGGTTTTAAAATTATTTGTCTTCGAATATTAAAAGGTAAAAGTAGATTTTAAAAGAGGCTTTAAAAAATTCTTACAATTTATATTTTAAAGGAAAACAGCACTTTATATGAAATTCAAATTCCATTATTCATTAACAAATGTTACTGACACACAGCCATGCTTATTCATTTACACAGTGTCTGTGGCCACGTTTGCGTTCCCGTGGAAGAATTGAGTAACTGCAGCCCAGATCTTATGCCCAGAAAAGACATTTACTGTCTGGCTCATTGCAGACAAAGTTGGCCAATTTCTGGCCTCTTGCATTAATCCAAATGGGAGATGATAATGGGTGGGGGCCAAGGTAGCCATTGTGGCCAAGGTGAAGCATGGTCTGATTCTAAGTATATTTTTTAAAGTGAAGCTGGCAGGTTTTGCTAATGGACTGTCTGCAGGGTGTTAGAAAGCATTGAATCAAGAGTGACATCAAAGTTTTTAGCCTGAACAACTGGAAGGATAATATTATTACTTTGATGAAGATGGTGTTGGTAGGATAAGACTGAAGGGATTATTACTTTAGTTTGGGGCCTAGAACATTTGAGATGCCCGTTGCCTGTCCAAGTGTAGCTATGCCAGTGTTGTGTTCAGATGAACAGATACTTATTCCAGGTTGACTGTGTTTAGGGCTGTGCAGCACAGAAAATTATTTAACCTGAGATCCTTAGAGCAGTTGGCATTTGCCTAACTGTATTCTGTGAGACCTTTTTTCGTAGGTATTCGGGTAAAGAAAGCCTCTAGTATACTAGTTAAGGATTGTGTACCTCTGGTAGGAACCATTTTCAAATTTAATTGTCTATCAGAATCTTTTCTGAGAATACTTCACATTTAGTGTTCTAGAGATAATCTGAGAAATAATGTGGGAACTGTCAGGTCTGATTACAGTGAAGCTACATTTCTTTTTTTTTCTTTTTTCTAAAAGATTTTATATATTTATTTTTAGAGAGGGGAAGGGAAGGACAAAGAGAGGGAGAGAAACACATCAGTGTATGGGTGCCTCTTGCATGCCCCCCAATGGGGACCTGGCCTGCAACTCAGGCATGTGCCCTGGACTGGGAATCAAACTGGTGACTTTGGTTCTAAGGCCAGTGCTCAGTCCATTGAGCCACACAAGCCAGGGCTACATTATTTTTTCTAATGGAGGTGTGTGTTTTGAAGACACGAAGAAAGAAGACTCTTCTTACAGTTTTTTTCTCATTCCTTTTTTTTTTTTTTTTATACGATTGGGATAGCAAATTCAATGTTATGTGTTTTGTTTTGTTTTTAAGATTTTATTTATCTTTAGAGGGGAAGGGAAGGAGAGAGGGAGATTCTCATTCCTTTTTAAATGTACAATGAAACTTACTCACTTTAAGTAGTATAGAGTTTTAAGTTGAATCTGTATGAACTTACAGTCACTACTTCATCAAGATTTCTGTCATCCCAAACATTACCTTAGTCTTTCTGTCAATTAATGACCTTTCTCCTACTGCCCCCAGACAAGTACTGGGGTTACTTTTGCCTTTTCTTCCCTTATAGTCTCAAAACTTGATTTTTTTCAGTTTTATTGACCTATGATTGACAAAAATTATAGAACATGATTTGATAAACAGTAGAAATTGTGAAATAGTTAACATATCCAGCATTTCACTTAGTTACCATTTTTAAAGATGTTCTCTCTTAGCAGATTTCAAGAATACAATACAGTGTCATTAATTGTCGTCACTGCGCTGTGCACTGGTTCCTCACAATTCATTCATTGCTTATTGAACGTTTGCACCCTGTGGCCAGCATCTCCTGTCCCCTTTCCTTCGCCTCCCAGCCGCTGGCACCCGCCTTTCCAGTCTGGTTGTGTCAGGTCAGCTTTCGTATACGTGGTCTGCCTGTTCTGAATTCCCTGAAAGTGAACTTACTTTGTGCCTGGAATCAGCATGGCTTTTTTCCAGGTTCATTCATGGTGTTGGATGTGTCAGTGGGTTGTCCTTTTCACTGACAGTTAGCATTCCACCGAATCGATAGGCCAGTTTGTTTATCCTGTCACCTGTTGTGGTTTCAGTTTCCGTTTCTCTAAAGACGAATGAGGCCGAGCATCTTTTCATGTGCTTTGTGGCAACTGGTGTATCTTCTTCACGAAGTATCTGTTTACATCTATTTTATTGTCTTCTTTTATACTGACTTTATTGGGTTGTCCAAAAAGTTTGTTTGGCTTTTTTCAGAAGATGGCTGTGGTAGCACTTGGTTGTTTTTATCTTCATTCTAAACAGTTTTGTTGGTCATATAAGTGTGCTTTAAAAAAATTCATCAGTATTGGTGAATTTTTGTGTAGCCATTTTGATATTGAAAATGCAAGAAAATACACATTTTCTGCATATTATGCTTTATTATTTCAAAAAAGGTAAAAATGCAACTGAAGCACAAAAAATATATATAAAGGTTTGTGCCCTGTATGGAGAAGGTGCTCTGACTGATGGAACGTGTCAGAAGTGATTTGCAACATTTTGTGCCAGAGATTGCTCATGGGGTGCTGCTGCATGGTCGGGCGGACCAGCTGAAGTGGACAGCGATCAAGTCAACGTACCAGTTGAGGACAGTCGGCATTCTGGTGCGTGGGACGTGGGGGGTAGCCAACATACTCAGAATATCCAGATCAATACAGTTCCTGGGGAAAATGAAAAATGTGTCTTTTATTTTACGGAAAAAACCATACAGACTTTTTGGGCAACCCAGTATAACAGTTTTTTGTATATGTTGGGAATCTTTTATAAGACAATACTCTGATCTGTAGAGCTTACCTTGCATACTTTTGTGGGAAAGCTTTTAATTACAGATTCAGTTTATTTGTAAAATATTGAACTTTTCTGATTATTTTCTTGTTTTTGTACTTTTCAGGGAGTTTGTCCATGTCATCTAAGTTGGTATGGTTTCTGTCATGAAGCTGTTCCTGACATTCCCTTTTATCTCAAGGTGGTTCAAGTCCGGAGCAGCGCTCCCCTTTCCTTCATTCTTCTTTCTGTTGATCTCTCTGGCTCTGAGAGCTTTATTAATTTTACTGCTCTTGCTAAGACCCAGCGTTTGTTTTTGTTGATTTTCTCAATGTGTTACTTTTTTATTTTTTAAAATTTCTCCTTTTATACTTTCCTTCTACCTGATTTTGGTGCAATATTATTATCACTCTTCTTAAAGGTGTGACATTAGTGATTTGAGACCTTTCTTTTTTACTTCTGAGACCTGTCTTTTAAAGGTTTAACTTTCAATCTGAAAACTGCATTAGCTGCATCCCCCCCAAATAATATTGTATTGCATTTTAATTACCATTTAGTTCAACATGTTTTCTAATTTCTTCCATGATTTCTTCATTAGCACATGGATTATT